GGCCGGCGGCCGGGTAACAGGTGCGCACCTGCTTGCAGGGGACCGTCCGCTGCCAGCCGTCGAGGAAGGGCGACCCCGTGGACTCGTGCCGCCGCCTGGGGAAGGAGCCCGTCTGGCATACGCTGACCTGGTATCTCGCCGTACGTGTGTGTGCAGTGCGTGGTGCTGTGTTAGTGTGCCTTTAACTGCTGCGACCCGCGGCGCTGGTCAAGGGCTGCGAGCAGACTTGTAGGCATGATATTAATACAACTCTGGCATCCGACCTCTTGATACAGTAGGATTTGCAAATGGCCTTGATTTCTGTTCCCTCCCCCCTTTGAACGTGGCATGTGCGAGGTTACAGCTGAACCGCCTGCCAGAAGTTGTGTTGCAAGGAGAAATTGGATCCTGATGGGATCTCGAGAATTGGAAGGCTTTTATCTGTCTTGAGTAGCACGTCGGCCCCACGACCCAGTGCAGTCCAGCCAGTGGAAGGACTCAGCTGCTTATTAAAGATGAGAGGTGTAAACTGTGTTTTTCTTGGCTCTGGCAGCTTGGCTTCTCAGCTTTTCATTTGCTGTTTGCTAATTTGGGAAGTTGTGGGAACAAGCAAGGTGGCTTGATTTAGCCTTGATCCGTGCAAATGACAGAAATCACTGAGGAAGATCTGCAAATTCACTTCAGCTGGTCCTTCAAACGGTCCTTTTTTGTAAAGCGCATAATGAGGCTTTCCTGTTTTGTTGCTCTTTTCCGGCTGCAGATTCTTTGAGGAGCAAGTTTGCAGATTGCTTACTTGGCTGGCCTTTCCGTGACAGTACAATTGCTGTTTCACTGACTGTTTTGGGAGGAAGAGTCTAATAGTGTTCAGACATAGCTCTCCATATGCCAACATAAGATGGCAATTTCTTTCCAAGGCGTGAGCACCATGCACTTAAAACCATTCCTCTGTATAATTGACAGGGCAGAGGATCAACATGCGAGCAGCTTTCAGGAGGAGGTTGCAGTGCAGCTGCTTATAATCTAGGTATTGGAGAATGTCTGGTTTCTGATGCTGCGGTATGGTATTGGGTCATTATAAAACAATTGCAGCATGGTGCTTTCTGGGTTCACTTGGAAAAAGTGGTATGTGTTTGCGTGGCTTTTTGCAATACATACCAATAAGTACAGTGATTATGTGCGTGTTCAGGAGCATTTGCTGTTTCAGTTTCCCTCCATTAGAATTCTCTTTCCCTTCCTTTCAGCAGCCCTAACCTTGGGCTATATCACTGACTGCTATTATGGCACCCATCCTGCTGGCTTGACAGAGGATGAAGGATGGTGAAAACAAAGGCCTGGGAACTCTGGAGATGCAGGCTTTGTGCATGGATTCATTGTGAAACTCCCAGTTTGACCTTACCGGAGTCACTTTGGGCCTATCTGTCAACACTACCCTGAGCTGTGCAATGAGAATCCTGAAGTGCTACCGGGTAGTTTTCTCAGGCTTAACTTCTGAGGTTTCAGAAGCGCTTGGAGGTCTTGGGAAGGAACTGCTGGAAACTTGCAGAGTACTGAGGTGTCTGGTCTTGCAGCTTGTTGGGTATAGAGGCTCGAGTTGTGCAAGGGTGTGTCAGGATTGTTTGCCACACAGTCAGCAACTCCGTGTTGCTTCTGGGGTTTTGGCAATTTGTGCCTCCTTGTCCTCTGTGCTGCTTCCAGGGAGAAAGGGAGGGCATTGCCCAGCGTCTGTCAGACTCCTTGGAGCCAAGTTTTTTTGTGCCTCTATGAGCTTTGTCCTATTTGTTGCACTCCACAGGATGTTGGAGAAGCACGTGAGAGAGAAAATGAGAACACGTTGGCTTTTGGTGTCTGTCAGAGTACCACAAACTGCCTTAAAACAAGAGGGAGTTAGTGCTGCTGGTGTGGAAGTCAGTGGAGTGTGTAAGGAAGATATGAAGTATGCTCTAACCTCTGTATTTTCTGAGTTCAGGTTAAAAAGCTGAGGAATGGAGTCTGTAGAAGGAATTCGTGCGGTAAAATTAGAAGTGTGCTGTCTGCTACGCTGCAGGGCGTTTGGGGGGGAGAATACTCCCTTGCTGTCTTCGCCTTGACACTGGGAGAGGAGGGGGTGCTCTAATTGCATTAGCTAAATGATTAGCTTAATTAATCAGCTTTATAGCACAGATGAAAGGATAATGCAGGAGTGTTCCTGGGAGTTGCTTGGGGAAAAAAAAACTCTTGTATGAGGAGCTTGAAAAGATGCTCTCTGCCAGTGCTCCTAGTAAATTTTTTTGTGTGCATCAACACCCTGGTGTAGGCCGCTCTCAGTAGGGAGGGTATATTTTAAGTTATGCTGAAGAATAACAGCTATGCAAAAGACTGTAGGCAATGTGCATGGCACTGTACAAAATATCCAAATGGAGACCTCAGGAATAGGTTTCAAAGGCCTAAGGTAGTTGTTCTGATGTGAAGTGGCTTGATATGTAGCACTCTTCAGAGTTTCCTTTCTGGGCTGAGATCCATTCTAATGCCCTCAACAGCTGTAGCATCTGGGCTTTCAGAAGTGGTGGGCAGTGGGTATCTTGAGCTGGGGGGGTAATGCTGTAAGATACTTGGGATTCTCAAGTCAAGGTTGCCATTGTCAGTCACTTACAAGTGGATGTCATTAGTGAAGCCTGGCTGGCACTGGACCTCATTTGCAGAAAGTACAGGTGTGTTATAAAAGACGAGACCTCTAATGCTGACCGTTTTCTCGAGTAGAAATTAAGGAGAGTCAACAAAAGTGTCTTTGCACAATACCATCCAGCTGTCTAGGAAATCTACCATTGTCGGTGTTCTGCTGAGTGTCTGTATATAAAGATGCCTTCCCCCTGCCCCGCTCTACCTCTGGACAAGTATTTTCATTATGGAGATTAGATATGCTGAAAAAAGTGCTGTTTATTTTTGGGGTCTTGCCCTGCCCTGGACCATCTGAATCCAAACAGCTATTCTGAGGCAGGGCTGAGTTCAGCTGGGGTGTATTCCCAGCAAGCAAATCAGCATATTCCATCGCTGCAACAGACAGGAGGACTCAGTTTTTGAAAGGCGAGGCTTATAGGTGTGTTCAGAAGCAAGGGCTGTGCCTTGGGAACCTTCTGAAATGAGTCATCCTGAACCCTGCCAGGAGGGAAACAAACTGCCCACTTGCTTTCTTCCCCACCCCCTTGTTTTCTATTGGGTCACTAAAAATACAACAGGGATGACGTTAAGGAGGATTCATACCTCGTGGGTCCGGTGTTGGTATGTCAAAGGGCCCTCCAAGCAGAGTGCTGAAATTTGCCAGTCCTGGGATTATGAAGCTGGATGAGGGAAGTCAAAGGGAGACAGTTGTAGGAGTGAAATGGAAGGCCCAACTGGGTATGCCCCACATACAGCACAAGTTACTGTGTCATTGTGCCTCAGTTTTCCCATCTGTGAACTGGGGAGGTTGATGCTTGGCTTCCTTTGAAGCACCATAGAATAGCTGCCTAGAGCCAGTGTGGCTACTGAGCAGTACTTTACCTCTTGGTTGCACTAGTTCTTGGACTGGAAGAACAGGATTAATCTCATCTTCCCATATCTCTTTTGGACCAAAGAAGGGCAGAGGGCCTATGAAAGCAGGAAAAAGAAAATGGCAGAGGATGATTGTGGTTCCTGTCTATTTTTTCACTGTGGTCCTTTGTAAACTCCCACAGCCAGGTGCTTGTTTGCAGACTGCAATTCCCGTGTTGCCTGTAGCAGCCACAGTCACTAGGGTTCTTGTGGCAAACAATTTGAGGCCACTGCAGCCTGTGTCCCAAGAAGCAGTTGGCTGTCAGTACAATGGGCAAGGCTTTTCCATTCACAACCTAGCGGGCTTGTAGGAAGTCGTATCCGTTGCTTGGGTCTCCTTGCCCTGTTCAAAACACAAAAGGTTCTTGCCTACAGCTGGTGGATATTGGCTCCTGGATGAGCTTAAACAGTGTACACTGCACTGTCACAAGGAGTTGGATGCTGCTGCTCTTCAGTTAATCTCTACCAGTCAATCCCATCTTTCCCTGAAATTCTTCCCTTCCTAATGGACCTTGTACCTCCAGCAGCATTCAAGTTTGAAAGTTACTCTCAAACCTTGGAGGTCCTCTCTCCTAGCTTGGGGGTCTTCAGGAGGAGGCTGGACAGATATTTGGCTGGGGTGATATGACACCGGCACCTATTGCTGCCCGGGCAGGACCTGATCTGTTTAGGTCCCTTCTGCCCCTAAGCACTATGATACTATGATTACCTAGACTGTCTTTCCACTAAAGGCACTTTACTGGTACAAGAATACCAGTATACAACTCACTGGCAAACTTTCCTAATGTGGATGCAGCCACTCTATAGGCACGGTGAAGTTTCCCAGTGCAAGCAATACCAGTAGAAGCTTGGTCTCGCACGTATCTGTTAGAGGGAAAACATAAGGGTGGGAGTGGAGCTAGTTAGCACAAGAACAGATGGGAATGAAATGGCCATGAATAAATTCAGGCTGGGAATAAGAAGTGAGATCCTATGTGATCAGGGAGGGCTTGGGGGAGTCTCTCACTAGGACAGCTGCTGGGAGAGGGTGGGGAGGCACAAATACCTGACCGCTTGCAACGCAAGATTATGAAAGGGATTGTGTTAATGCGGTAGTGTAGGATACCAAGGTGATGGGGAGATGATGGCCCTCTGCTAGTCTTAGGTTCCTGTGTATGCAAGGGCTGCTGTTGGCACTGCTCCATCAGTTGGGGGTCAGACTTCGGTGCACGTCTGACTTCTGCTGGTGTGTATCTGGATTTAGCTGGTCTATGTGTGCATAGACGAGAGCTATGTACACCGCTTTCTTAAAATCTAGGTTTAGGTTGGCCAAGCCAACTGTCAAGTCTTTACAGTGTATCTACAATGATATCATTCTCTCTCTCTCTCTCATGCCCCCAATTAAGACATGTACCTTGCTTGGTAAAGGTAAAATGAGGAGAAAATGTTTGTTTGTTTGTTTTTCTCCCAGAGTCTTAGCTGAATTTTGAAAAGAGGGGTGCACTCAGTATCCTGACAGGTCCTTGGCCTCTGTGGCTGGCAGGATGCAGCAAGCATTTCTAACTGTCCACCAAGTTCAGAAAGGGGAGCCAGGCAGCTCATCTCTGGCAGGATCAGCTTTGCAGAAGAGATCAGA